TATTTTACGAAAATGTTATGAATTTGGGTTTTTATGTCTCTTTTTTTCCTAACATTGGTTTATTAATAGCTGCAGGGCTTGCTGGGGTTGTTTTGAGTTTACTACAACTACGTAATTTTTTTATATTTTAATACCAAAAAAAGTAGTTTCGTTAACACCAAAATTTTGGTATATTTTTTTTTTTCTTTTGATTTTCTTGTTAATATTTTTTATTTCCCAATAATTTTTAGATTCTTAATAATCACTAAATTATGCACTATTTCCTCGCCACCACTTCTAAAAAAAAATCCATCGAAAAATTCACACACTGATATGTAATATGATTAGCTTTTTATATTTTCCTTAGATTCCATTTAACTACTCTCTTTCCTTTACCACAACTAACTTTAGAGTGGGTTTTGCATTCGTAGAAAAATCAAAAAAAAAATATATATATAAGAAATGTAAAATTACTTTTATTTTTCATATTTTTTTTTTTAACTAAAAAGTTTCATTTTGCAATTCGCTTTTAACTGGAAGGTATTTACTGATAGCCATTGTGAAATACGTACATACAGATTGAGTAGCACAAGTTGTGCTTGCCTAAGTAGTTCAATAGAATACTTCAAATACTATTTGTTTATTTAGTAAAATATTTTTCGAAGTTGTACTATTCGTTTTTTTTAGTATTTTTTTTTTGGCAATGCACGAGTTTTGTATTCTTCTCATCTTCAACTCCGCCATTGCACAGTTTTCTTGCACTATTTTATGATATGTATTGTTTACAACTTTTTTATTTTATTTTATTTTATTTTTTCTTTTAGCTCAGCTTTGTTTGTGTTCTAATTTTTTTTCGTAATTATTTATCATTAAATTTAGTATTTTTCTTTTTCATTGTCCTTACCGATCCTGCTTCCGCATTTTATTATTATTTTTATGATTGAATTGGAATGTCGACATTGAGATACCACTGAAAGCCATTGAATATGTTCGTATATTTGCTGTTGTTGTTAGCATATTTCATTTTTTTTCTCTCAAAATTTAATTTAAAAAACAAAAAGCGCATATTTTCCAACAACAAAAAAACACGTTTAGCAGGTGAGTAAATTTTTGCGCAAACGAAAAACTCTAACACACATATACATGTAGGTACATATGTAGGATAGCACTAAAGTAAACGATTAAGTGATATTGAATTTTTTATCTCATGCGATTTTGTCTCAAATTTTTGGTAGCACAAACACTGTAGCTGCTCGTACTACTACATTTGTATATCCACAATCCACTATTACAATTACATATTTACTCCGTTTATTTATGTATTTTCCTTTCACTAAACTTCTTGTTCTTCCTCATCCTATTTTACATCTTCTTGCTCTTTTGTGTACAGAAAATAAAATCGATTTTTTTTGTTCACATATTATTTTTTGCAATTTTTTTGTGTAATTTTTTCAAAGGCTTTTCTATAAAATGTTCAAAACATAAATCCAAAAATAAAATAATTAAAAAAAATATGTATAGAAATGGAAAATACTTGAAGTTTAATTTCTTTTGGGGTTTTTTTTTCATTTTACCTTCACTTTAAAATTTGAGAAAAAATTATTGTACCAACTGTTTTATTTCCATTTATGTATGTCGTTTTCCTTTGCTGTATCTGTTTGTATTGATGACTGTTTTTTGTTTGTTTGTTCACCTGTTTGTTTGTATGTCTGTTTTATGAATCTGTTGCATGTTCGATGGGTGTGTTTTTTGTTGTTTTGTGCTTGTGTTCGCATTCGTTATTTGAGCGCCACTCTACTTTTTCCACAACTACTATTCATTTAGTAGTTATAGTTGTCGTAGGGTGTGCCCAAGTACGAATAGAAACTGGGATTGATGGGTTGTGCGTGTGCATAATAAAATCCAGAAGCGGGATCTGGCGCCACTCAGTCTAGGAAGCCGGTATTGACTAATTTTTCCAAAAAGAATTTCACGTCGCCAAGTTCGGAGTCTTTGATGCCCAGGGATTTTAGCATGCCTAGATCGCCATTTTCAACAGCCATAAAGACGGATCGTAAGTGTTCCAAATCGGATCTGAAAAAAAAATAGACAAATACATAGTAGGAACAATTAAAATTTGTTATCAGTTTAAATTTTTGTCTTGAGATTATTTTAAACAGATAAATATATAAAACTGCTTTCGTTTTTAACCGACTTCCAAAAAAAGGAGAAGGTTTTCGAGTCGTCGGACTTTTATGAAAAAAAAAATTCGGTAGAATTATAAGAAGAAGAATTATATAAGAATTATAACAGAAGATTTTTTTTTGTGCATAAGGACGAATGGGTATAGAAAATGTCCTTTACAAATTTTGTTTGAGGACTACTATACGCACAACCTCATCATCGAATTTCGTCCTGCAAACTTTATTAATTAAAAAAAAAAGATACATTTTATTAGTCCTTTTAAATCAAAACAATTTATTGTTTTTAAATTTTACACAATTTGTTCTCTCATTTGGTATTTCGACATTCTACATTGCACTGATTTTTTATAATAATTTTTTGAATCAAGCATATCTTTAAAATTTCAAAGTCCTTTGAAAAAAATCCTGACGTCAGAGTGAAAAACTAAAAACGCAGTTTTACTATATTTGGCCCAAAGTTTCGTGAGTGTGTTTTGAAATTTTTTTGTTTTTGTCGCACGGTGTAATAGCTGAATCAAGGAAAAAGTTGCTACGCTGCAGGCAAAAATATTTTGGCGATGGAGGAATTGGAGTTTAAAAAGATTAAAGAATCTAGACGACCTTCACATAAGCCCATTTTACTGGCTATATGTGCTTATTGTTTAGCCAAGGCAGGATATAGGATGTTTTAGTGAAAGTTTAGGCAGCCAAACCAACTGCTAATGCCATCGTACTTTACCCATTACAGGGACAGTCGGCTAATAGAAATCAAAGATATACAAGATAAACTTCCTACTCAAAGTGTTGTTGCAACATCATTACTTTCAATGTGCAACAGAGTAGAAATACTTGTATACAAATGTTGCAACTAGTTAATCAAGAAAGTATAAACTCATACGTTGCCATCGAAAATTATTTTGGGGAATTTCAAAATGCAGAATAAAAAACCTCCCCTTGCTGGGACTTAGTTAAGACCATATTTCGTGCAAATCAAATTTCTTCAAGCGCATATGTGCAGAGTCAAAAAATATAAAGTGATTGAGTGCGCCACAGAGTGAAAATGGAGAGGTAGAAGAAAAAATGAAAGGTGCAAAAAATTCAAAGTCACCATAAACAAAAACAAATTGTTTTTATGTAATCAAAAACGTGCACACCATGCACATGTAAAATTCTTGCAGTGGCAGCAGCTGTTGCCACTGGCAGTGGTGTGAGTTAATTGAATTTTTAAATGGAGCAAAATGAAAGAAAAAATTTAGTTCCTTTTTTACCAAGCTTATGAATATGCAATTAAGTGCGATTTTACAGGTGAAAATATTTGAGATATTTTTAGCTTATGTTCTTAGGGTTTTACGGATTGGCTTTTAATTAAAACGTATTTATTATCAGGTATATTATTTTGGCATAAATTACATAAATGAAAATTAAATTTTATTTTAATCAAATTTTGTATGAATACCGCGAATTTACACTTTTTGCAAGTGCTTCCATAAAGCTTCATTAAACGAATTTGTAGAGGTTTTTACTACTAAGAGTAGAGGGACAGAAGGAAGATCCTCTGGTAGACAACGCGCACTGTACGATTTTGGAAAAAAAGGACGAGCAGACGAAATAATTATTACGGTATTTTAAGGATTTTGAGATGCAGAATTCGGAAAGATAGTCTCGTTGGAAAAGCGAATAACCTCCGCAAGTTACAAGACAAGGAATTAAAATCACTCTAACCCCCCCTCAATTTTATTTAGTCAGCTCAGATCTACCATAAGTGTATTTCACTGTACATTAGACTGCATCACCAAAAAAAGTTGCGGTTTTTCCGCCGGGATTACAAAATTTATTATATTTTAAGACGTCCACCAAAATATTTCGGAAAAATATTAAGATCTAAGCGAGCTGGACCGATTTGAAAATACCTCCACAAATGAAGTTTTTTATGAATAAAAATAGTTTCTTAAAGAACTTTTTGAAAAATGTCCCCTCAGATGACAAATTAGATTAAGCTTAAAAAATCTGCATAAAAATATTTGAAAATCTTTTCAATGGAATCGTAAGAATGAGAATTTTGATGCTGTTTTTTTACTTTTTTCAAAGATTGGTTTACGAAAAACTTGAATAACTGGGCCAAAAATGTTCTGATTTAGACTTATGGGATCTCAGTAGAAAGGTATTTTCACACTGTTTTTATTTCTGGCCAAAAAAACGTCATTCGTGTCCCATCTTGTTTTTTCGAATACCAACACATCTTAGTTCAATGTATGAATGATATTCGTTCATCCAGCCTTTCTCTTCCATCCTTTGAATGAGTTTATTAGCAAAGAAATAAAAACGGTGAGAAAATACCTTTCCAATGACACCTCTTTAGTCTAAATCGGATGAGTTTAGGTTCAGTTATTCAAGTTTATCCTATACCAATCTTTGAAAAAAGTTAAAAAATAGCATCAAAAATCGCATCATTACGATTCCGTTCAAAAATTTATTTTAGTTTTTTTTTATATTTTTATGCAAATATTTTAAGCTTAAACCGTATTGTCATTTGAGGGGTTTTTTCAAAAAAAAATCTTTAAAAAACTATTTTTATTCATAAAAAACTCCATTTTTGGAGGTATTTTCAAATCGGTCCAGCTCACTTAAATCTTAATATTTTTCCGAAATATTTTGGTGGGCGTCTTAAAATATAATAGATTTTATAATTCCAATGGAAAAATAGTACCGATTTTTTTTTGTATGGGGAGCGATGCAGTCTACTGTACATATATTTTGCGTTTATTAGCATTTCTTGATATATTTGGTACAACAAGTGCTCATCCACATAGCATAAAGACATATTTGCATGTGTATATCGACATTTAGCGGTATGCAAACATTTTTACTTACATATAAAGCAATAAAAACTGATATCCTCCGAGTCTGCTGGCAAACATATCCTTTATTTTTCGTTTATGTTGTTCGGCTCTTAATTAATCCCGGCAGGCGCATTTGCCGGTTCGTCTAGTTGAAAGCTAGTCAGGGATCGCTATGCCAGTGCAAGCATTAACACACACACACACACACACACACATTATCAGCTAATGCTTATAAGCCGGTTAAGCATATGCTAAGGCGTTGATACCGGCACACATATGGCTACACAAGTACATACCACATAAATATATTTGTAGGGAATTCATGCGCCTTTTTTGTAGTTCCGTTGTATGCATTTGCTCTACTTTCCGGCTTAGCCGATAAGCTTATTGCATGTGTACACATTTATTGTTTTATGAATATAGCATACTGTGTCTATAGGCATGTATGTATGTACATACGAGTGCAACCTTAATGAACGCACAGCCACTAAAACCCGTTTGCTTGACATCAATTTCTACTGCATGTAATTGCCATACATATTTACATTGTGTTGCTGGTTGAGGTCAATGCTGCTTTCGCATGTTAGTTTTCTGGCTCACAGCAGGTGATATGTGACCTCAAATCAACATTTCCATAGTCTAAAAATTATAGCGAAGCAAGAATTTCTTCTACGCACTATTTGCATTTTTCTGGTTTTATTACTTTCACAATGTCGCATTATGCGTATAGTCTATATAAAGCGTAAAAACATGTGCTTGTATTCATCAAATTTTATTTCTGTTCATTTTATTTTGCACGCCCTCAGGCTTCCTAAGATGGTTGACCAGTTGGGATCTAGCTGGTTTTATTTTCTTCTTCTTTCATTTTGTTAATTTAGTTTTGTGTGTTGACCTGCTTACCGTTATGTCAGGCAGCCGCGGGAGTCGACCTGCGCCACTTATTCAACTACATGGGACAATAATGCTTACTTAGTTTTGTGGAGTTAATTTTTTATTACATCTACGTAAATATTTTACGACTCTCGCAGTTCTTCCTACTTTCGTAAATTCCTTAAGAAAAAATAAATGTTTAAGTAGCGATAGTCCAGGGAAATGAGTTATACGAGGATCACTAAAAAGTCTACACAATTCGCAATACTAAATGACTTTTGCATTGTTCTGACCTTTGTACCGTAAAATTTGACATTTGCGCCAATTCACTGTGTTTTAGCGCGACTACTAGAACCAAGCGTCTAAATGCATGCTATGTATTGCTGCATATGCCAGAATTTTTTTCATTGAACTTAAGAAATTTTGGCCTATGCACTTCTCAATAGCCATATAATAAAACTGTCTTAAGTTATAATTTGACGACACTTTAAGGTATGCTCCGCCTAGTCTGAGGCATCTTCCGGAGTTTCCTGCGGTGGTAAATTATTTTTTTGTTAGAATAAATATTTTCTTTTTTTATAAATCCATGCAAACATACCAGTCTCCTCTCGCACTTTTTAGAAAGAAATATTCACTACTACTGCTTGATAAATTTCAGTCAAAATTTCGCATGTTATAACTTGCATACGGTGCAGTGAATAAAGGCCCGCGGAAATAACGCCCGCGGGCTTTATTTCCTCTTTTCTGAGAAACAAAGCCAGCGGCAATAATGCCCTTTGGAAAGGAAATAATGTCCTTTATTTCCTTTTGGCGGTGGGCTTTATTTCCTAAAAAAGAGAAGGCTCTTGTTTACATTTAAAAATGCATCCAAAACCCCCCGTGTTTTATTTCGATACTAAATCAAAACTCATTTGAGGATTACATTAATTCAATTCGACTGATTTTCTTACAGAAGCACAACAAAGTGGGAGTGGCGTCAAATGACATCAAACCGACTATTTCAGTCGGAAACATTGATCGAGAGCAGTTACAGAAACGCACTACAGATTCAAGGAGAGATTCACCATCGAACCGAATCATTGTTGCCAACAGCGAATATAGAGCCTAATGTAGATATTCTATTGACAACTCTGATATCGAAATTGATCAGCGTTGTGCGATTGGCCGTGCTATGAACTAACCAATCATTGAAGAATTGGAA